GGAAATATATCAGATTGGACACTCTGCTTTTGTGTTGCGAGAAAGGGTAAAACTCAAAAACTCTTGATGAATGTAGAAATATTAACCCCCCTATCTTTCTCATATGAGTCTCCACAAGAATGGAAAAATGTAAATCAAGGCCATTAGTTAAAGTAGGAAAGCAAACCCAGAGTTGTTACAAGAGTTTACAGTAGTATGAGATAACCAATTTTCATTGACTGCTTTTTTGGACTGATTTATCCTGCAGAGTTTCAAACACTCTAGCGTGGGCATACTTCAGAAAAAACCCCAACACTTTAATGTCACTCAGATATTCTTAAGTTTTATAGCGCTATATCACACTGTCATACTAATAATGTTCAAAAAAAGGTGTACCGGTGTATTGAATACATATGAATAACTTGCTTTTCAGATCCCTTTAACCTGTTTATCTTTGGCTGTTAAGTATCCTTATAAATGGCAGTATGAGAACTAGTTTGGAGATAGGAAAGAAGAATCCTAATTTGCAGCTGTTCAACTTAGGAATGGCAAATGCCATAATCATTACTGTATTTCTGTAGGACTAAAATACACATTTTATTGTACTTTACCTTCTTTCTGTCAGGGCTTTTTTTTCTGCTTGTTGCATAGCAGGGAATGCTAGTGATGCTGTTTCCTGGGAGACATCTGAAGTTATTAGTTTGGACATTAAACACCCTATTTAACTCTTTGTGAATAAAAACAGGTGTAAGGGAAGCTACATATGAATAACATGTTCCTCTGGCAAAACAGAGGAAAATTTCTGTACTACAGACAATCTTTCTCAGCTAAATTGATTCAGTTTGTATTCACATCATCTCGCTGTGGATACTTACTAACAAATATTTTGAGACAATATTTTCATTGTTAGCATCAAGAAAATAAGTTTTATGGATAAACTGTGAGCCAAATTTTCTGAAGGTCAAGTTGGAACAATTCTGTTACTTGGTTGAGATTTTTTGTTTGAAATTATTTGCTTCAGAAAACTGTTCAAACACACTATTTTGTCAGGAGAAATTATATATACATGGGGTTTTTTAAAATTAGGCAATAGTTTATTTGACTTTGAAATATAGGATAATTTTATTTGTATACATGAAGGCATACATGCATAGTGTGCTGCAAGCTGGAAAACAAACCATTTTGATTAACTCAAATATTTTTATAACTTTCAGTTAATGAAAAAGTCAGAATTGCTATTATTTGAACATTTGTAAATGTTCAGTGTTCATTTAAGATGGGGAAATGCTTGTATACAAAGGCTTTATATGAAATGACATAATTAATTTGGTGCTTGATGCTATGCCATATTTACTGGTTTGTATTAGCTAATTATTTAATCAGTTAGTCAATGAGATTTCCTGATTGTAACTGAGCACACACTTTAGGCAACTGACTCCTAAAATTACACAAAGATATTTTATTATATAAAGAACTCATTTATAAGAAGCAGATCTGATGGGTACCTACCATGGTTCCAACACATTTCTTCCCAGTTGTTTGGAGGTGGTTTCCAGGTATTATTTTGAACTTAAAATATTCTTTATTCAAAGAACAGGTCAGCATATATATGTATGATTTTGTATAAAAGATGTACTGAGCATATTAGAGTAACTTAAACCTCTATTTTTTTAAGAGTCCATGTTGTTTTTTTCTGTATGTAACTCACATATCAAGCAGTTTTCGCAATTCTCTGTTCAAAAGCTAAGAAAATCTTATTGAACGGTCCATACAGAAGTGCCACCTTACTGCAGTGAAAGTGATTATTTAAATAAACAAGTGATTTTAATAAACTTTTTTTCCATATAAATACTCTGTAAAAAAAAGACATTTCAAAGATCAGCTATGGCAAACTGTCAGGTAAACTATTTTAGCCTCTACAAAGAATCCTCACAAAACTTTCAGCTTCTGAGGAACCCCTGAAAAATATATTCTCTAAATACAGACTTAGTCCTTTGAAGCTTTACTCACATAGGCAGTGCTATCAAAGCTAAATAAAACCTTCAGATTATGCAGGTTGTCTGGGGCCAGGACTCAAGAAGGTTTTGAGATGTTCAGAAATACAAATACATATGGTAAGGTGGAAAACAGCCTAAACCCAGAGGCTGCCTCATGTTCCTCTAGGATCTGTGCTATAAAGTGTCACTGATGATCAGCTGGCTCAAAAGCTGGAGAAGTCCTTTGGTATTTACATTGCACTGTGATGGATTTTAGCTTTATAACATGGGGCACAAACCAACTAGCACATTGACTCATGTGCCTGAAATCTGAGACTATGGTATAACTTTGTTACAATTGAAGATTAGATGTTACAAAATAGTCCTTTAGGGCCAGAATGTGCAAGTGATGGGTACTTGTAAGGGAATAAAGCAGACTCTAAAATTACAAAGTTTGAGAAGTTCACCAATAATCCTGTAGGAAACTGGCAGCCGAATTAGGATTTTTGAGATGTATGTTTTCAAAGTCTAGGGAACCACCAGAATAAGACAATAATCTCTCTTCTCCTTTCCTCTGTTCCAGGGAGTTTTGTTTTTCCCTTCCTTTATAGTATAATAGTCCCATTTTGTCACTGTGGTCGGTAGCACTCCCTTTTTGTTACACACCATGGGATTTGGATCTATTATTTATCCATGGCAGATAACAATCTAGACCATGTCTGTACAAGAAAACATTGAACTGGTTTCAAAAGAATGACTATAAGCCTGGTGCACTTAAAACAGTTTGCCACCTCTTTAAGTTGTTTTTGTAATTTAGAAAATTCAGCTTGACTGATTGAAGAGATGATAAAGTCAATTTAAGTCACCCGGTTTAGGGAGATGCACTTGCAACTTTTCCCTCTAGACAAGGTCTTGCCTAATAAGTAGGAGGATCAATGGCAGGTTAATGCAACTGGCAATGTAAGAAACTGGAAACCCCCCCCAACTTGCTATTATTTGTGTGGGATATTTTGTAAACTATTTAGGCAGGGATTTTTTTTTTTCACAGATATCTCTAAAATGACAGACAACACTCTACTAAAATTAATCCTAATAATGTAGATAATTATATGCTATTTTTTTTTCAATATAGTTATTCCATTTTTACATGAGTGTAGTACTGAACTGAATTTACTCCACTAAGACAAATACTGTAGCAGTGGGCCACTTCAGCCTTGCGCTGTATGTGTTCATTCTGGTGGGAACCACATGCTTGTAGCTAAAAGAGAGATAAAAAGTAGATACAGAAAGAGGAGAATGTATTGCTTTGTTTAAAATTACAGTTCACTTAGTACTTGTTTTTCTTGGCATATGTTATTTACTATATAATCTAATAGATAAATAAAGGCCCTGATGGTTTGAAGCATGCTGAGTGATGATCTGAACCAGCAAGTATGCCTGGATGGAAAACTCTTAGAGAAACAGAGCTTTTATTCATCAGTGTAGGATCAGCTTATTTGCTGTGGCTGAAGGGTTTGATTCTTTTGTCTTACATGATATAAGGAAAATTAGATCATGCAAAACAACAGAGTGATTTATTCATTGGCCATCTTTTGATTTTTATGCATGTTGGCCCACTGACATTTCTAACACAATACATTAAAACAACAGGGAGGAAGAACATTTTTTTCCTCAGCTATTTGCTCTGTGTTTCCTGTCCAGCAGTCACTGAAAGAGGGATGGCTGTAGAGGTGTAGTGCCACAGCTGTACCAAGAATTTATTCTGTTGATAGAGGTAGAGCAGCAAGTACAGTATTGGTTTCTGCTGTGTTGCTGAATAAACTCAAGAAAGTGGTTTGCAGTGAGGAATACATAGCCTCCTGAAACTTATTTCCCCTCACAGCATGTGCCTCCGCTTTCAGCAAGAGTGAGTTATGCTATATTAGCAATAAAGGAGAAAAATGAGCCAGATTTTTAAAGGTGCTTAGGCAGCTGAAGAGGTAGGTAGATGACTAATAGGATTTAGGATCCAGGCTTGGGAAACCTTTAAAAGTGTCATATAAAATTCTTATAGAAAACTAGCTCGTCTAGTCTGCCTGAATAGTGATAACCTACCATCATGCTATTATTTTAATTAGTAAATTATTGTGTCCTGGAAAGACTAATTTGACAGGGTTTTCTGATAATTCCAAAGGTATTTCTGGTTTCCACACAAATTGTCCAATTGTCCTATATTCTAGAGACAAAAAAATTGCTATAAGAATATGGACCTTTCCTGAAGATAGCATTTTTTTTTCTTGCAGGCGTTGCTTTACCAGTGACATGCATCTCTTCAAAGGCAAATTATGCTTTGTGCCACAAATTAATGAGCTGCTTACTAGGTGGAAAGTGAGTATAGATAATGTTCAAAGTAATCTAGCGCCTTATGGGAACTGAAACCCAAGGCGTGATCCCTCTGTCAGTGTCACAGATTGGCTATTTGGCAGCTGGGGGAGCTGGGGTTGTTTAGCCCGGAGAAGGCTTGGAGTAAGGCTGGGGGCAGCTCAAAGGAGGGTTTAGAAAGGTGGAGGTCGGCCTCTTCTCTCAGGTAGCTGCCAACAAATGCACTTCAATCTGGGCCAGGGGAGATTTAGGTTGGACATTAGGAGGAATTTCTTAGCAGAAAGGGATTAAACGCAGGAATGGGCTGCCCAAGGAGGTGGTGGAGTCACTGTCCCGAGAGGTGTTAAGGAAACACTGAACGTGGAAGCACGGAAACACTTCATGCCATGGTCTAGTTGGCGTGGTGGTGCTCGGTCCTAGGTTGCACTGGATGGTCTAAAAGGCCTTTTCCAACCGAGCAGGTTCTGTGAGGCGCGGCAGTCGCTGTGTGCCGCTTCGGGCTCGCGTTCCAGGCGGGATGTGGCAGCGGGGCGTCCGCCGGACAAGGATGACCGTGCCCTGGTCATTCGGGCCTCGCCCCCCGCCAGCCTCCCGCTGTCAGCCGCCTGCGGGGCCGCCCGGGGCCGTGGCTGCGCCCTCGGCCGGGCCGCAGGAGGCGGCGGGAGCTCCGCGCTGCCGCGCCCCCGGCCCGGCCGCGCTTCCGCCCGCGTCAGCTGACTCTGCCAGGCAGCGGCCCGGCCCGCTCCGCGGAACCTCGGCGCGGCCAGCCCGCAGCATGGCAGGGGCCGTGGTGAGCGGAGCACAGGTAGGTGTCCGCGGCCCCACCTGCGCGGCAGCTCGCCCCGGCCGGCGCGTCCCCGCCCCCGGCACTGGGAGCGGCTGCTCCAGCTCCGCGCCGGCGGCCGCCTCTCTGCCGGTGCCGCTCCGGGTCGGGGCGGCCGGCGGACGCGCCCGGGGCCGGGTTTAGTTTCCCCCCAGCCGCACCGCGCCACGGGACGCCGCGCAGGTATCGCCTCTGTCACCGCAGCGCTGTCCCGAGGCCGCCGAAGGGAAAGGGCTGAGGAACGGTCCGGGAATGCGCTCCGAGTCCCGCGGCTCGGGGGTGCGCTCCCGCCGCCGGCGGATAGCGGAGCGCCGGGCCGGGGCAGGGCTGCGCTGCCCGGTGCCGCTGCCCGGTGCCGCTCAGTGCGGCGGGCCGCCGCCGAGGCTCCCGCGCAGCGCGCTCCCAGCGGGACGTGCTCCGGCTCGGAACGGCGCTTGCTCGGTCCGGCTGGGGGGGCCGCCGGAATGGGCTGAAGGAGGAGTGAAATCTGCTAAATGTTGTTCCTCCTGAAACCGCCTGTGTGTGTTTCGGTTTGGCTAAAGAGAAGTTGGGAAATACAACTGAAATCCTGCTGACTTTTGCCCAGCGCCTTGTATGGCTACTGAAAAAAAAATTCTTTCAGAAACTTGATGGCATTAGTGATGAACCTGTAGTTACAGTTAGAACAATTTTTTCCCTCATAAGGAGAAGGAAGCTTGTCTTATTTTTGAAAGTGGTTTGCCATTAAACCAGGGTGCTCCCCATCTAATTGCTTCTTTAATCTGTTCACTATTTCTGTGTGGAATTAATGTAAATATATGTGTGATATGAAGGCAATTAATTGGCTAATTTTGAAGCTGCTGCAGGAAACAGTTCCTGTAGTCTCTGTGGTGCACCCTGGCACTGAGTGACATGCTACCTTCTTCCCTTGAGCATGCCTTGAGCCCCTTAATTTGGCTATGCGCCCAGCATACAATCTTCTATCAGCACGGAGTAAAATGTAATGCTCAGCTGACTGGAAATATTCTCCAGATATAATTCCCTTCAATGGGAGAGAAGATACAGTATTGAGAGTTCATACGTGACCTTTTTGGTGACATTCCTTAATAAAGACGTTACTCTATGGGTTATTAAGATGACACTGTCATTGTAGAATGATCACAAAGACTATATGGTGATACCTTCTGAAACTAAAGCAGAAGAGAGGTGCAACTGCTATTGATGGTTAACTTATGTTTTAAATATTTTGTAACAGCATATATTTTTCATGAATTGCATACAGTGTGTTGAAGAGTCTGCAAGAGTATCTCAGGCCTCCATAGCCTATCTGATGCTGGCCTTTGTGGGAAACTCTGAACATTTTGGTGGGGTATTGAATGGGCCACCAGTAATAACTGACTGACCAACCTTCAGTATAGCTGAGTTGGAGAATTAGGCCATGGAAACCTCTACATCCAGTTTTTAATCCTGTCTGTGACTGGTGTAGGAAAATCTATGGAATCTACTGTTACTGATGTGTCTTGCAGCCTGAGAGCTGGAATGTTGGGAAAAGTGTTTTTGCTCTCATTTCTCATTGGTGATGTCACTGGATGTATACTTGGGAGCTCATAGTCATTTTGGGGGTATTTGAAATGGAAGCAAAAGGAAGAATACTGAATTATGTACATTTTATTGTTTCCTGAGTAAATCATCTTGAACTGAAGCAATTAAAATGAAGAAATGTTCTTCTTTCTTCTGTCTACTGACTTCTTGTTTTGTATTAGCATTGTATTGTAAGTGTGCTGAAGTGGATTCTGTGGAAGTAAAATGCCTTTACAAGGCCTCAGCATTGAAAAGCCATGATAACAATATGTCATCTGCAAATATGCTTGTGAATAATCTGTTTGCACTAGTTGTGTAAATATATTTGCATATTATAACTGCTCAAAGGCTGAACCTTTGAAACATTTTATGTACTTTGTCTCCTGTGTGCTCTAAATGATATTTGTATCAATATTTTTCTTCAGTTTCTATTCTTGTGGATAGGGCTTTGATGTCCAGGTAAGTTTCTGAAGCAATGTACACACACCGCAGGCGAGTCTCCTGCTCCTTCTCAGCCATTGCTCCCTGGGTGAAAGGCCAAGTGAGGGTCTGTGCTCTTGCTGTGTTTGTTGTAGCTCCTCAAGACAGTCTTGTCCTCCCAGTGTTAATAGGCATCATATTTAGTCATTTCTGTTTCAACATGTTGCATTGAACCAAATGCTTAATCCAAAGTATTAAGCTGTTAATGTGAGGCCTTTCAAAGAGTTTGCAAGCATTAATTGAAAGAAATCTACCATTCAGTGGAGAATGACATGGTTCTTTTGTGTATACCTTTGTTTATGCTGTAAAACACATTGTGATTATGTTTGACGTAAACTGGAGGAAAATCCTTACATATTTAATTCAATAAATTCTGCAAAACATTTTCTGTTATGTCCAAACCATTAGGATGCCAACTACCAAAACAGTTCCTTTGCCTTTTGTTCTTCTATTTGCTCAAGTTGTGTGTATGTCTGGTAACTGAACATACTGCAAGAGCAGGTCGGATTTAGCAAGGGGAAGAAGTTGTTAAACTGAGCTTCAAGCTACCTGTTTTCTGCTCATAAAAATTATTTCACTGTTGTCAGCTTTATCTGTTGAAGTTATTGAACAAAATGAATTAAATGGAATGCCATATAGTATTATCAGATGCAATCATTTTCAGAGCGTAGGAGATCAGGATGACTTGCAGAAGTACATACTGTCAGTCTGCTCTGCAGAGGAGTCTCTGTTTTAACAGAAGGTGGAATGCTATCAAAACAATTTTGATGGATTTTTTGCATATTTTTCATCCAGTGTATTTTAGACTAGTGGAATTGGTATTGAAATTGACTTTATAATTAAACAAGTGGATAATAACAGTGTTGTATAGATAGTGGTCTAACATGGTTCTTAACTTGCTAGATGGTCATTAAGGAAAACTAAGATTTCTGCCGCACAAAATCTGAAATATCTGTATTTTGAGCACAGAAAGGATGAGCCAATATAGATGTATAGAATTCTTGACAATAGTTTTGAAAATCTTTGTGAGATTTCTTTGAATAAATCAAACCAATGACTTGTAAAACAGTACAGCAGAAATAAGAGAAAAAATTTAGCTGCTTTACTTTGTGTTCTTCTGGAAATATTATCAACTCACTTAATCCTGACTAAAAATAAATAAAAACAAACAGAATCTGAGTAGACTGGTTTTTGTGCTGCCACTAATTCTTCCTGTGTTTGCTAAAGATGAGTTAGATGGGCTGGTATGAAAAAGAGTACACGTACATGACGGGTAATGAGAAGCCAGAAATCTTTAAGATTTTCATGGCTGTCTGAGAAGAAGCTTCATGCCTCATTGTCATGGTTATGGGCAGCCCTCTTGCTCTATCTCTAGTGTGTTACTGGGAGTAATAATCTTCTCAGGGAATGGTTAGAAGGGATTGATCGTACACTGCTGAGGATTTTCTGCGCCTAAATTTAGAAAACAACTTTTGTTTGCTGTATATGAAGGGCCAAACTGGAAGATCCTTTGGATGGCTTCTGATCCTTCAAACAAATTTCTTCTGGAGCATGTCAGAATGGTAATGTGAAGTAACATTAGATCCAAGTATTAACAGTGAAATAGAAGAAATGTGTTATATTTAATCAAGGTATTTTTACCTTGAAGGAGACAAAATGTACCTGGAGACTATAGATGTAATAAATATTAAGTTGATGGTATCAATAGGAAAATGAGTTTGTATGATAGATTTTATAGCTGTAAAACTTATGTAGTTTAAAGCTGTAATGCCAAGTCATTGTGTTGCACGTTATCATTTTATCAATGAGACAGAATCTGGACAGGGAACTAAATCTACTCATGAAATGTTTCCTTTTGCTTCTATTTCTCAGGTGTCCTACATTAGTCAGGACTGTGAAGAAATTCCAGAATTCCTAGGAAGAAAATATGGACACATGGCAAAAAGGCTAGATCTTAGCTTCAACTTGTTAAGGTATGTGGCAGTATATAGATCAATGTGGAATTCCAACTCCTAAAATAGACTGGGGTTTTTTTGTCAAAGTAGAAAAATGTGTGTCAGGTACATTTAATTATTGTCTAGTGGACGACACTAGTTTCTAAATAATGTTTATCTCCTTTTCTCCCACACTTGAAGCACAAATAACCAGGTGAGTCTGGCAAGCTAATATGTGTTAACAAATGATGCCCATTGAGAAACTTAGGCTTTGTTCCCTACTTAAATTGGAAAATAAGCATTGTTACCTGAAGAAGTGAAGAACGGGATCAAAAGTGAATTTTCCTGAACCAAAATACAAGTAAGTATGTACTTCTCTCCCTTTCTAAAAATTTTCTTTATAGATTTCTGGTTATTACTATAAATACTTTATAATGCTCTTTTCCCAGATGATGTGTTTTATTCTATGATTTTATTTTTGTGCATCATGTAGTTAAGTGCTAAAGCTAAGCGCAGTTAGAATTTGTAATTCCTTCTAAGTGTTTTAATATATGGATTGGTTTAGGATTCTGCAGTATTGCTGTGAGCTACTACAGCATCCCATTTCATTTAATCCTTATAAGAGAGCCTGCTGAGGTTCAGCAGAGTATATTTCAGGCTGAAAAATGTGGGTAAGTATGGAGAAAGAATTTGAATGCAATTTTCTGTTTAATAAAAAAATAGGTTTGTGAGGGGAGGGTTGGACTCAACTCATTTTCCTTTTGTTTTATTGGGGGTAAGCTCACAGTATGATTGTGAATAGTACAAAAAGTAGTGTGCTGATGCCTTGTTTTCCTAGAAGAAACAACCGTTGATTTTAACTTACTTAACACTCACAAATGTTCTTCCGAGCCTCTGTCAACTCTGAAAGACTGAATCATACATGTAAGAGGTAGCCGAGCAAAGGAGTCACTAAATCTGTGGATTGTTGTTGTCTTATACTATGACTCTGTACCATTGGATATTGTAGCCAGAAAAGAGTTTTGCTGGGGGAGGGGATCAAATAGTAATTTTTTTTTATTTTTGTCAAGAAGGTCTGTATGTGTATTAAGGTTTAACATGTTGACAAGACTGCTCCTTTACATTTCTGGGAAAAAAAAAGTGTTTGTCTCTTTTAGTTAATGCGTGATTTGAAAAACAATTCTCTGAATTTGTTTCATTTCATAAAGTAAAATAATAACATTAAATTTGGATGTAAAGTACCACTTTAAAACTCTGATCATATTTTCATGGAGAGCACAATTGGTGATGCATTTCTGAAATCTGTGTTTTCTTTCCTTCTTTTCTTCTCTACTCAAAACACTTAGCCTGTTTTTCAGAAGGGATATAATTTGGTTTTATTGAGGTTTAGGGAAGAACAATCAGCTTATTGATGTAGGAGAAGTTGTAGTTGTAAATCTGTAAAAGTATTTTAAGACAAGAAATCAGATTTGGGAAAAAGGAGAAGTGGATTTTTTTTCCCCTTTGGGAAGCTAACAATAAATGGGATGAGAGCAGTAAGGGTTTCTCATTTGAGTAGTGCTTAGATTTACTAAGCATATAGAAACTAAGAGTGAAGTATTTATGGTACAGTAGCTGTTCACAGTGGTCTGCACTCATATGTAAGCCTTGTACCTGCATATTATTGAGAGAGATAAGATACAGAATAAATTTCATAACCTTAAATGAATGTGAATATAGAATAATGTCTTGGGCAGCTGTTGAAGCAAGTGTACGCAGTGATATCTTCTTTAAACAGGTATTATTGCTTAAAAATCTAACAGTGTTTTAGTATAGTGATGAGTTTTATGATTTCTATCAGTAAATGCTTAATTTGAAAAGTTTAATACGTTGTTTTCAGTGAGGCAACAATGCCTATAATTAATGTTCATTTAATTAAATCCTCATTAAAAGGAGTTTGGTTTTTTAGTATAGTCTCCTTGGTAAAGGTGTGAATTGAATGAAGAAGACCAACGGTGATGAAAATATAGGAAAAGATGAAGAGAATACTGTGTTTTGCTAGCACTGTAGTTATTTGCAGTAAAGATGCTAGGTTTCATTATAATTTGATTTATCATTGGATGAGAGTTTGTGGTTTTTTTTTTTTTTTTGAAAGGAAAAAAGAAAACCAAATGTTCTCATGTGTGATGGTTTTGTTACTCAGATTTCCCTGGTTATTTTATTTTTGCTTGGGATGTTTCCATACAACAGAGGAGGGGAGAGTTGTCGTTAGTTCTTTTGAGCTGGTAGCTTACTACAGAGGGAAGTGTACATTTTTCACCATTTTTTTTCCTGACTTCAGAGTTCTTTCCCAGGCTAGAACTCCTTCCTCATTCTTAAATAAAATTTAGGGGGCATTTAGATGCTTAATTATCTTTGCATCAGATGTGGTATATTTAATATCGGTACTTGATCCATAATCACAAACAGTTACTTTTGTGTCTTTCTTGTTTGCCTTTTTCCAAGAACTAGTGTGTCTCCTGGATTACACTGAGCAGTACATGGATCCAGCTCTTTCTGCTGGTGGTCAGAGTGACTGCTACCAGTTGCAGTGGTTACACATCTCCCCTTTTCCCTGGGAAGGAAAGGAAAGAAAGAGGTGAAAGGTACAAGGGAACTTAAATGTGTATTTTGGGAAAGAGGAGGAGTAACAGCAATTTGTTGTGTGTGAGGCAAAGGGAAAAATGTGTGTGTCCTTAAAAGATGCTGGTGTAATTGGCAGGATGTGGTGCCACTGGATTGCCTCCTGCTTATGTCTCTGGCTGGTGGAAATCCTTCAATCCCAGACAACTGTAGTCCACTTCTGACTTACTCTTCTCATGCCTTTTTCATTACATTGATTTTGTTTGTATACTTTCTAATATCCTCTGTTTCCTTTTGGGGCCAAGGGTGGGGTATGAAGAAGATGGAGCCAAACTCTTGTCAGATGACCAGCAAAAGAACAAGAAGCAGTTGTCACAGCTGCAGCAAGGGAATATCCAGCCACCTCAGGGAAGGTTGAGTGGAAGAGATGCCTAGAGAGGCTGTGGAATCTCCACCCTGGGTGATATTTAAAATGTGACTGGACAAAACCTAACTTTTGAAATCCCCCTTTTCTGAGCAGGGAATTGGACTAAATGATCTCTAGATGCTCTTTCCAACCTAAATTATGCTGTGATTCTGCAGCTTTATTGGTGTGATATGGCCTGAGTTGTCGCAGCTCTTTTGATTTCATAGGGATTTTCAGCTGTTTTAGCAATGAACTGTTTACACTGTGTATTTTCAATAAGGCATGTTTCAGGAGCAGAGATGTTTTGCTTTGGAAATCTGCTCCCAAGCCTGTCATGGCAACTGTATTTGATAGCCTTCCCTAGTAACAGAGTCCTTTCATAATATGTGGAAAAACATTCCCCTGTTCTCATTTTGTGAAGGCATAGAGTATGGGAAGAAGAGACACTGATGTGTGAAGGCTAGTGTTACCTGGAAACTTTGTAAAGGATTTCAAGGTGGAATGAAAAGCTATTGTTGATCACGGAAAGTTAAAGATTTCATTAAGAAGAAGGTAAGTAATAATCACTGGTGAAGGAAAGAAAGCAGTAAGCGAGCAGGAGGGATGTAATAGAGGTAGAGAGTAGAGATTTGGATGAAATACAGAGATTTTAGTTTAGGTGCATCATGTGTGCATTTACATGAATCTTGAGATTTTTAGTTCAGATGCATGCTATCTTGTGTGAAGAAAGAAAACCCCAAACAACCCACAACTTGTTCAAAGCTTTTTTTTACTTGTCCTAGATGTCTTTGTTCAATTTTTTTTTCTTTTCACATTAAAGGCTAAATGCACTCCAGTGCTTGAATAACAGATGTCAGTGGTTTTGTACAAACAGTGCCATGCTTTTATAAATGACATCTACACTTCAGTTCATGAGAAGTCCATCTTGTGATTTTGTTCTTGGTAGTTTTAAACATGTGAGTTATTTTCCTTTTTCTTACGGTGATTTCTTCTTGGTCTAAGCTTTGAGGTGAAAGGGAGAGTGAATCTTTAATCTTGGCCAATGAGGAAGGATTAATCCAATAATTGAGCTCATGGAGATACAAATATCTCTTCCCTCTCTCTAGGGTGCAGATTATTTCTGCTAGGAGTTTGAATAATTTGCACAGTATGTGCTTGTGCATAATTTCCACTGTGTGATGAAGAAGGTGCATGTATGAAAACAGTCTCTTGAACTTCAGTCCTAGTCTGGAATGTTCCTCCATGACTTTAGTGAGGCTGAGGCTTTGTAATATCTTCTCTGTGGACTAGGTATTGTTCTTTCTCTCTTCTGCCTCCTGTTTTTTGCCTGGGGGAATATGCAAGTGGCAGCCTGAAAATGGGCTTCAGTGTTTACAGGGCATGTTCTTCTTTGTAAGTTGAGTATGTGAAAGAAAGGCTTTTTTTTTTTCCTAACCACCTTCCTGATCTGTGCAGCAATAAGACATGCAGAACAGGAAGATGAACAACAAAAGAGAGATGGAAATAAAAGCCAGAATTCAAAACAAAGCATGACATATTTTTAAAGCCTTTAGACTCATCTTTATACCACTTTAAAATTTGAAGGGAATGCACTATTGTTAAAACTTTTTGATGGTTTTATTTATAAGGTAGAAAAATATTTTCACCATAATTGGGTAACTCTTAATCGTAGCAATTGCATATTTATCAGTATGAGGGGCTGTTATTAATGTAGCTGTCATGCACAAACACATTTCTGCATTAAATCCATTTAGTATGTGCATTATTCGGTCTAGAGTGTCACCAGGACATCAAAGCCCCCTTAGGCATAAGAGCACAGTGCCCTGCTGTGGCTGCAGAAAGGGCTTGATCAATAAATGTAACATGTTAATGCAGAGCAAATAGAATAAAAGATTTCTTTGACAAGACATGAAAAATCACCTTGTGGCAGCTGGCATGGTGATGCCATTTCAGCGGAGACACTAGCAAAGTTGATCTGACAAGTAAAGAGGAGAGATGATGGTTATAAGGTGCTTTTGTTTCAAACTTCTTT